TTTAACAGGACCAAGTTCAGAAAGCTAAAAAGTAATGTTGAGCCATAAAAGAGCTGGGAGGAAGAATTTAAATCAGAAAAGTGTAAATAACTGGAAATGATTTAAGAAATCTTCACTAGATATCCCCAAAAGGCACTATCAAAGATGATGGATGTATTGGTTAAAAAAACCACTTTGGGGGAAGGAAAGACAGTAAAAAACAGCAATATGAAAGGGGAAGTTGATAGTAAGGAAAATAAATCAGAAGCTAATAAGAGTAGAAAAGAGAACACAAAGGGACATAAGACTAAAACCATAGCTAGAAGAGTTAAGCACAATAAGGAAGTGGTTTAAGTTTTACAACTAACTGCCAATCGTTATGGGTTTGAGGAAAATAGAATGACAGATTAAGTTGATTTTTTTAAAGATATTTTATATGAGATTACAAGTTTGTTGATAAAGTATCGTATATCGCTATAACTATTACTTCTGTAGGGCATCTGACTCGAAACTACATGACATTTTGATTAAAAAAAGATAAAATTAACATGGCATGCAGCAAATGGATTAAAAACTGTCTGATAGGTCTCAAAGTGTAAATGTAAACAGGGAATTACAGTAGAACAGATGTTTCTAAAGGAGCTTTTGAAGGATCAATTCATGGCCCTAAGCATGGTAGCATTTTATTAGCAACCCAGCTGAAAACAGATTTCCAGAGACACAAAAAATAAGGCAGATATAAATAACAAATACAAGTCACTGACACAAAGTGATCTGAATAGTTGGTGAAATAGGCGCAAGCAAACAATATGCATTTAAATATGGTTAAATGTAAATGCATACATCTAGGAACAAAGAATATAGGTCATGCTTACAGGATGGGGGACTATATCATAGGAAGCAGTGACTGAAAAAGATTTGGGCATTTTTATGGCTAATCCAAGGGTGGTCAACCCATTTAATGAAGAGAGCCAAAACAGTGGTGGAAAAATTGCCTAGAGCCACACCAGAATTGTCAAGAGATGGGAAAAGGGAGAGTGGAAGGAAGGAAGACTGCCTCTTTAAGGAGCAAGCAAGCTTAGGCTTTTTGGCCATATCAGGTGCCTGTTGACAGCTGCCATCTTGAATTGCCAACTGGGTGAGCACAGGGGAGCCAGGGACGGGGGAGCTGGGGGCCATGGGGGTGGTGAGAAGAGCCACATGTGACTCATGAGCCACAGGTTGGCTACAGCTGGAATCAGCTGAACATGAACTCCCACTGTAACACAAGGAATTCATGTGATCTTGAGTAGGTATAGAGAGACTTTTCACCTGTTTTTGGGCTGCTTCTAGAATGTGGTGTCCAGTTCTGCTGTCAATTCAAGGGCATTGATAAATTGGAGAGGACTCAGGGAAGACCCACAAGAATGATTAAAAGGATTAGGAAACATGCCTGATTGAGCTCCTTAAGTCTATCACTATCTATTTAGCTTAGCACAGAGAAGGTTAAGGGGTAGTTCAATTACTATCTTTAAGCATCTACAAAGGGAGCAAATATGTAAATAGGCTCTTCAGTATAGCAGAGAGAGGTATAACATGATCCAGTAGCTAAGAATTGAATCAAGACAAATTCAGGCTGGCAATTATGCATACATTTAACAGGGCAAATAATTATTCATTGGAACAATTACCACAGGTCATGATGGATTCTCTAGCATAGATTAAATTTTAAATCATGATTGGAGGTTTCTCAGAAAGATCTGCTCTAGACGTTATTTGGGGGGAGTTCTATGGCCTGTGTGTTGTACAAAAAGTCAGACTAGGTCTCACTGGTATTTCTGGCCTTTTCTATGAAGAAAGCTTGAAATACTCATATAGTATCTGCTAATTTAAAATTTCTACAAAAGGGAAGTTGATGAGTAGTACTGGAAAAAGTGTTTATTGATATTTATACTGGTATGGACAATCTTTGTCCAAAAAAATAAAAATAAAGATTGTGTTGCTCTGTGAACAGAATAACCATCACATGTGCGTATAGCATAATCTTTACAGGAAGAAATCCCTGGAATGCATGCAGATGTTTAACTGAGAACAGATATTTGCAAAAAAAAAAAATCCCCATAAGCAATTTTTAGTTAATTATTTAAAATATTGTAAATTTCAGTTGTAATTTAATTTTTAATGTTCTTTATGCAATTAATAGTAAGTACCTTTGATAGCTGAATGAAATACTGAAAAATTTCAACATTTGAGGTTTACAGAAAAAAATTAAAATGAAAAGCAACTATTTTAAATAGCATGTGAATGATACCTATTGGACCACACGTGTGAGTGAAACTTACCCAAGCGTCTATCTTTGACCAAAAGAAAAGGGAAAGAAAATTAACAGGGCTGAAACTTTATTTCAAACCCAATTTTATTTTATTTACAAATTACAACATATCAAAACTAGTTGCTTGACATTTTAAATACAGAGGAAGATTATAAGGCTGGTTTCGTCATTTAAAGGAAGAAAATAAATAACTTACTTTGGTATACTTATATTTCTTGTTCATACTTTGAAATGGCCAAATCAATATACAGTACATTTTTGAAGGGCTAAAACTTTCAGGCTACATTTTAGGAGGTCATTGATTGACCCCTGGAAAGTTTTGCAAAGTATATTAAGAGATTTTCTGTATTTTCTCCTAAAACGCATTTTAAAAAACAAGAGGTTCCTTCAGTTCTCTACACTGTATTTCCTGGTTGTAGTGAAACTACTTTTTCTTTGAGGCTGCTGTGGATTGATGTTGTCAGAATGAATCAGGGTGCAAAGATAAGAGTAAATGAATGTCTTCAAAACACTGATCTTAATGCAAACAATTTTCTTTACAGATTACTTTCTTCTACATTCTGTTGCTATTACTTAAAATGCATAGTCACATATGATACTCGGTCTCTTAAATTATTTTCATCTCTCCCCAACAAACATAGCCATTTAAAGACATGACATCTGCCATAAATTTAAGCTGCAGTGGTGGTAAAGTATAACTGAGTTAGACACATTAACAATAGAACCTTTACAATCTATACATACAAACACATGTAGATTGTATCTTATAAAGACTAAGTCCTGTATAAAATTATTTTTCATATAAGAAAGTGAAACAAGGAATTCCACAAACAAAAAAAATAATCACAAAAATAATGATCCATGACTTTTTCCTTGCTTATGATATTTTAATTATGTTAGTCTTTATTAGAGAGTAGAAAGAAAGTTGCTCCATTGGATTATCAATTTTGGCTACTGTCGCATATTTATATCCGTGGAGGCTGTGTGCGTTGTATCATAGGATGAGAGAGAGCAGGTTTTCTGAAGATTCAGATGACCAAAATCCAGTGTTGTAGGTTAGCAGAAAAGCCTACCATGAAATACTGACTCAATCCAGAGTCCAACAAACTCAAGGAAAGACGGAGTCCATCCAACAGTAGGACCGGGGTCTGAACATGCATATTCAGGCCTGCCAACAGGAAGAAGAGAGGGCAGTTTCCCTGAGGCCCAGTGATTCTAAAGAGCCCAGGGCTCCCAGGTACTGCCAACCCTAGGCCTTGTATGAATTGCTGCTGGAGAACCACATCAGGTGCTCTGTGCAGCTCTGAGGGCTGGTGGGAGCAGCACCACACCTCAGACAACATGGAGGATTAGCTGCCCCAGTACCACCCCAACCAAAGCATGAAGCCACCCCCCCATACATCTTGTCCCGGGGCCACAGTAGCCGTCAAGTCCCACTGTGTATTTTTAATTGTAATACATATAAAAAACATTTAATATGATCCCACAAAGCAACATACCATGCAACTATTTCTCACACAGAGCTTATAGAACCTGATCCGGATCGAAAGCCTATTGAAGTCAAGAGGAATTTTTTCCATGGACTTTGGATGTCCTATAAAGCATATTTTAGACATTTATTTTTCTACAACAGGAAGAATGTAAACCTCAATTATGTAATGCTTAAAGCCAATTTGATGTGAAACAATCATTTACATAAGCCATGCCAGAAATAAAAAAACACTAGAGGCACACAAATAATTTAATTTGGCTTTCTTATTTTAACTCTGTATCAAGAGTCACCACAGAAAACTTCCTGCATAATAGCCATCCAAATCTTTTCCAACAAAATCATTATTTGTTTCTCATCCCCAAATAGATTGATGTTCTGGCTTGCTACCAGGGGCCACAACCTTGCAATAATCTCCAGGTCCAACATGCTATACATGAGGCCTTGGTCCCAAGGTATTCCAAAAATCAGAGTTCCCCAAAAAACAGACCATGGGTGTATAAGAGGAGAGACTATGACTAGCAGAGGACAGTAGACAAAAGAAGGCATGTTGGGACTGGAGAGCTCCACTCTTGCACACTTCTAGGAAATCAAATACCTCTCACACACCCAAAAAAGTGCTTAAGTGGGCCCTGCAGCCTGAATTGCAGGATTCTTGTCATGTAGCTTTAAGTCTGTTTAGATTAGCGGTTACAGGGTCTGTACAGAAACAAAGAAGTTTGCCTCAAACAAGAAGCCCATTTTATTTTGCTTGAATCTCAACCTGGGCAGGTTTGAGCTTATAGCAAGTCTTGGCAATCCTCCTTCAAGCTCTGTTTTGAGTAGACATTAAGATAATCTTAAATCTTTGTTTATAAAAGTTATTGAGCAACAAACTATGGACCAGTTCCTCATGTAACCACATTTCTATTACCCTGCTCCCCACTTTTATTTAGACTGAGGCACAGATTACCCCTCATGTGAGTATGCATGTTTCTCACACAGTGTTGATCTCATTTGCAGCTTCTGGGAGCTACTGTAATACAAGTAGCATCTTTACTAGTTTATCACCATTTCAGTTACAGAAATTCAGTCTCTACTTCCCTAATATGAATATATTCCACCATCTGATATTTGTGCACTTGCTTGTGTATTAGCTAGGGGGAAAAGAACCAAGGTTCACAGGAAACATTACTATCGGACAAGCAGCAAGTTTCAACCTAAGTTAGGAGAGACAACCTGTGCAATTAGATTCACTTTATTGAATAAGGTCTGAAGTTTGACAGCTACAGCAGTAAATAAATCAACTTTCCCATAATTCTAGAGGAAAAATTGAAAAAAGACTTCTACATTGTAGAAGGTAGCCATAACTGCTGGTTTTCATGCTGAGATATCAGAACTGAGCAACAGCAGAGCTGCACTGTAGAGAGTCTATGGCCTCACCCAACAGAGGCTAAATAGTAACAAGGGAAGATGTTAAAACATCAACGAAGAGGCTGGTACCTCAGTAACACACTGAATTGTATTCCCTTCATTCCAATTTTAAAAGCTTTTGGAAATAAGGCTTTTAATTTGATTACTGCAGTACTACTCTGTGCAAAACATATAACCCCCTTCCCCTCAAGATTATGGTTCAATACAGAATAAAATGTTAATAATTTTTACTTTGTTGAGTAGTTGCATAAGTTTGGTAAGAGTCACAAGCCCAAGCCACTTAACATTGCAAAAGTATACTAGCATCAGCACCAAACTAGTCCTACTTATTATTTGACCTCTCCCATGTAAAGCTGCAGTCTCTTCCACATCCTGTAGATCAGTGGTGTTCAATCTTTTTTATTTTGCGACCCCTAGTGCCAGGAAAATGTTTGAGAGAAAAAAAAAAAAAGCACCAAGAATATTTTGTTGCGGCCCTTTAATTTAAAGTGCCAGTCTGCTTCCCCTGCTTCCACTGTGTACACATCAGGCACTGAGCCAGGAAAAGAAAATGGTGGCCAGCCTGGTGCTACGACCCCTCCCAGGAAGACAGCCGCGACCCCCAAGGGAGTCATGACCCACAGGTTGTGCACTGCTGCTGTAGATCACCCTTTCAGATATTACTTGGCAGCCATTACAGTGCTTTACACCTTTTTCTTCAAATACAAGACTACATTCTGGTCAGCATCCCAAATCTTCACAAGTTAGTATGATACCAACATACCTTATTAGAGAGACTGCAGCCTCCACTCACCAAAAATAGGATTTGGAAAGGCTTGTTTGGAGGCATTTTAAATCCAACCTGTCTTCTCCCCTAAACTGACCCCATTTGATAATAAATGCCATGGTGAATTGTACAGCTGGATACTCAGTTCTTTGGGTGATCTTAAAAGTTGCATTCAAAGTTATTCTAAAAGAGACATTCAGAAAAGATATTTATACCTGGTATTGATACTCTTTCAAGTACTCTTTTAATCTTGTTGGTAAAGGCAGTTCCCAGATCTTACTTGTACATTTGTTTATAGTTATTCTACAGCGATGTTGCAGAGATGGAGTTGAAGTATAGAGGGGTTTGTTCAAATAAAGATGCACTGTTCCATTTGGTGGAGTTTCAGGCCCGGTTTTTCTATCCTTGCATGTAAGAACATAGTATTCAATCAGATCAACCACACTATCAAACTGTTTAAGCCTAGATCTGACACATATGATGGAATCCAGTCTGAATTTGCCATTTTGATACTCAATACGCAGATTGGTTGGTCCAGCTGATGTTTTTACTGAAATAGTCAGTAGGTACTCCGAATGTGAGCTGTCTCTAACCAAGAAAGTACCTTCAGGTGTATCTTGTAATCTTTCTTTGGCTTCAGCAACATTCATATTGCCCCAGTACCACCCTGTTAGAAGAGGGAGATAGTTTAAATGTGTCATCATGACACTATCAGGTCAGTATTTCCATGTGTGTTACTGTGTGAGTGAATATTAGATTTCAAAATATGCTGAAAACTATATGGGAAACTTATGTACCATCTTCTGTACAATAGCCAAAATAAGTTCACATCAAACTACATAAGGAATGCTCCAACTTTTAATAGCCCTGGTTAACTTATTAGAAATAGGGCAGTACATGTAGGAGAAAATCCATGTTGAGTCAAGGCTTCCAGTCTGACAATCTAATGAAGATAAAAATCTTGCATTTTGTAAGGCAGTTAGTAGTTCCTTGAGCTGCAAATATTCACTTTAAAAAAATAATTCCTACAGCTGTATAATGGGGGTAGTTTTCCACATTTGAGTGATGTAACTGTAATTGAAGAGGTTTAAGTAGTATATGAAACATAGGAGGGCTAAGCTAAACTGGAATTTCCCAAGTTACAGACAAATTTGATACTATTTTTAACAATTCATTCCTCCCTCCCCAGAGTCATTCTGAACTCCATCTGGAATAACTGCTATAGCATGCCTCTGACACAATGGTTTTGACCCACAATAGCTTAAGCCCAATAAATCTGTTAGTCTTTCAGGTGACAGAGCACCCTCATTGTTTTTGCAAACACAGACTAACATAACTACCCCTCTGAGACTGCTACTTAAGTGTTTCCTTATTTTATTAACACAGCTTTTTATATATGAAGTGAAGCTATTTTCACTAAAAAAAAAATGGTTCTCAGAGAATTTATAAAAGTATTTTTCCCCGCACATATTTCCAAATGAGGCAGCCTGAAGTTGAGGATCTTAAAAAGTTTGCTATTTATTTTTAAGTAGATTGCTGTGTTTCTATTAATTGGATTTATTCCTCTTCACCCCCCACTGCTCGTATGAGAGTGTGGCTGTATGTCTCTTCCTTGTCTCTACCTAAAGAGACGGTTTCCAAGAAGTGGTCACCACAGCAAGACGACCAAAAAAACCCAAACTAAAACAAAAAACGCCCAAACTAACTTTTACCATCAGCTGCAAAGCGGCATGGTTTCAAGGCGCGCAGCGCTGGGTGACCCAATTCAGAGCGGATTAGCATGAAATTGCTATAAAGCGCTCGTCCGCATGCAGGTCAAGAGAAGGGAGACTGCGCAAAGCGGCTCCCGCGCCCGTTTGCCTAGCACGGGGGCTGCTCGATCGCGACTAGCCGGAGAGGCTGTGACCCGCTCCCTGGGCAGTTTAGCAGGCACCGCCCGGCTCCGCCAGGAGCAGCGGTATGTTCAGCGACCTACCCGGGCAGCAGACAAGTGCCCCAGGCCAGGCCCTGTGCTAGCACGGCCCGGCCACGAGGCAAGTGCCCGGCCGACCCCCAGGGAAAGGCGCCCGCTCGCCCTCCCCGCTTGCTTACCTGCCCGCCTCAGCTCCTCCATCGCCGCGGCCAGGCGCTCCGCCGCCGCACTCTCGGTCAC